AGGGCAGGAGGCCTTTGACGGAATCAGGATGGCAGTAGTGAGGGGTCCTAGCAATCCGGCTTGGGCTCCGTGGTCCTGTTTTGTGCGGCCCAGCCCCCTTTACAGCAGGGTTTGAGGTTTTCATCGCCAATGGGAAGGTCTGAGCTGAACAGAAGGACTTTCATTCTCAGCCCATGTCCACACCGTGGGAGGTCCTTGAGAGATCCAGGTGCACCCATTCTGCTCTCTGTTCCACTCTCGGCTTTGGCTGCTCAGGCTTCCAGGCCCTGGTCCATCCAGAGACGACACGGGGCATTTTTGGGAGCTATTCTCGGTCCATCCAGGGAAGACAGAGTGCGTTTTCTCCTGTTTGTTTTGTTCCACAGATATAAAGATATTTTTTTGGAAGTCCAGTTCTCTTCCTTTCTCCTTGGTATGGCCTGTGGGTATCCTGGCACACTCCGGGCATGAGAGATATCTGTGCCCCGGGCAGCCCACGTTCCTTGGGGCTGGATGTGGAAAGGAAGCTGGCTGACTGTCACAGTCCTCTGGGTGCCTTGCACAGTTGTTTCTGTTGGCCTCGGTGTCTTCTAGGAGATTATTCCATTTAATCATTTGCAACTAGCCTCTTAAGGGCCTTGATTTGTAACCTTCAGTATAAGGGCTCACACTTGTTAAACCAATCATGTTAGGGGTCATCAAGTGAAAAATACAGATTCAAAGCAGTATGTATAGCATGATTTCATAAGAACACACGTAAGAATCTACATCTGTATGTGAAAAATACACAGAGAGAAGAAAATCTAACACCAAAATGTTATATGCTATATAGGATTATGGGTTGTTGTTTTTTTACAAAATATTCCATCTTTTTGCTTATCTGTATATTTTCGAAGTTTTCTGCAATGAACTCGTATAACTTATATAACAAAAAAAAGAGTATAAACAAAATTCAGCATAAAAGGAAAGAATTAAAAAGGTATCTCAAACCGATCATCCAGGTGCAAAGTTTAGATTTGTCAAACTGGAAGAGGTTCTAGAAATTGCACACTCCCAAGACCTTCCTTTGGAGGCCAAGAGATGCAAGAAGATTTGCCAGAACTGTCTCTTAGAACACAGATTTTTTTTTTCTTGTTAAGGGATAAAAAGATCATTTCAGAATATTAGGTTGTCTTTGGAAGGATCAACAAATAGAAAAAAAGAAAAAAGGACCCTAAGGAAGGCCAAAGCATGTAGGGCTAATGCCAGGCTGCCCAACCTGTGTGCCAAGAACTACTATAAATACTTTTCATTCATTAATTTAAACCTCACAATCCTAGAAGTAGGCCACTCTTATTGTTCCAATTTTACAGATGAGGAAACCGAGGCACAGAGAAGCAAAGTAACTTATCCATATGGCAGAGCCACCATTTGAACCTAAAAACTCTGGCTCAGGAACCTGTGCTCTTAGGTACATGGCTTTCCTACTTCCCGATACATTGCAGGTGTTCAATCAGTGTGAGCCGCTGCTGTTATTTTTTTACTATGAAGGTGCCCACAGGACTGTGAGCAGTAGCAAGGGCAGCGCTGTAGGAACCATGGGGACCTGTGTTCGCCGCTCCAGGGGCTGCAGACAGCGGTAGTTACCGACTAGCAATGCAGGGGTGGGGAGAGAGGAGGAGGGAAAAAGCCCGGATTTGTAGTGTTTGCCAATTTCCATAGTGTAAATACCCCACCATGATAGATTTCGAGCTATCAACAGCAAGTCAGTGGATGGGAGGTGGCTAGTGATGGGCACCATCAGCCCTTGCAAGCTGGGAGGACCCGGATCCAGCTCACGGCCGCTCCCAGGGGACTGTCCCTGCTGGTGCCCGCCATCCCGAGTCTGGAGCAGCCTCACAGCAGCAGAAAGAGGCAGGCCCCTGGGGGGCAGAGCTGAGCTGGGGCACTTTGGCCTTGCATTGGTTGATGAAGCTTTCAGGCCGGGTCTGTGGGATGGCCCAGTGGTGGCACCAGTCTTGTGGGTAGCAGGGCTGGGTTCTGAGGCTGACAGACATCTTTAACATGCAGATTTTAAATCGCATATCAATTGGATCCCCTTTAAAAAAGGCTTGAGTCCACATTTAATAGTAGTAATAATGATCACAGTAATAACTAAGCAAGATTTATAATGTGTCGAGGACAGCATTAAGCAAAACTCCTAATCCCATCTAATCTTCCAAAAGCCCTATGATGGAGGTACTGTTATTATTTCCATTTTACAGATGAGGAAACTGACGCAAGTTTCCACAATTAATAAGAGAAGGAGCTGGGACTCAAATGCAGGAGAAAGATCTGGAAGGCCAAGCCGCCGACTGCTGTTGGCAGAGGTTTATATGTGGGAGAGTGCGATTTACATGGGAGAACTCTCATTTTTTACTTTATACAATTCTGTAGCGTTTGACTTTCCACAATGACTAGTGTTTACGTTTGCTCTTTTAAAAAAAATAGAGATCAGGCGCCTGGCTGGCTAGAGCATGTGACCCTTGATCTTGGGGTCGTGAGTTTCAAGGCCCAAGTCGGGCCACGGCTTACTTAAAAAATAATAGTCACAAAAAAATAGAGATCAAAATATTGTTTCTCAAGCTGTGTCTGAGATCTGTGTCTGAGACGCTCTCCTTTTTCTCAATTTCAGACTGAGGAGAACCACAAATAGAATTCTGGCCTCCTCTTGCTGTAGCAGTAACATTTTAGGATCAGTAAACGTGTGCGGCTTTGAGCCTGATCAAGTCAAAGTTCGGGTGAAGGACGGCAAGGTGTGTGTGACGGCCGAGCGGGAGAACAGGTACGACTGCCTCGGGTCCAAAAAGTACAGCTACATGAACATCTGCAAAGAGTTCAGCCTGCCGCCGTGCGTGGATGAGAAGGACGTGACGTACTCCTACGGGCTGGGCAGCTGCGTCAAGATCGAGTCTCCATGCTACCCCTGCACGTCTCCCTGCAACCCTTGCAACCCCTACAGCCCCTGCGGCCCCTGCAGCCCCTGCAGCCCCTGCAACCCCTGTGATCCCTGCAGCCCGTGCTATCCCTGCGGGAGCCGATTTTCCTGTAGAAAGATGATTTTGTAAAGCGTAGGAGCCCATGACTTAGTGGAAATCCCGTACTCCAGCCAGGCAGCTTTTCCAGTGTGTTTCCCCTCCTCTTCCCAATGGCCCGTGGTACTCAAGTCCCTAGGAAACTGAATACATAACTGCAACCCACCGGTGGTGTGCGTGAAAGTCTTTTGGCTCAACCCTCTGTGTGCTTCCTGTACCAGCGAGCGCCAGCTTCCGGGAAAAGATTCTCTCTGGGTGGGCATCCCCAGACACTGTTTTTCCAAGCGATCCAGTGCGATGGCCTAGCTCAGAAACCAAGCTGGTAAAGCAGACAGGAAGACTAGTGAGGTTGAAAGCAAGCACTTTGCAAAGCTACAGCAGTGGGGGAGCACCGGGGTGCAAGCTCTGCCCAGGAAATGGGCTGGGGGTTTTACTCGGTCAACAGGTCCGAGTGCAAAAGGACGGGAGTGGGGGGAAGCACGTTCACGGATTTAGGGTGGGGTGTTCATAGACAGCTTTTCCTTTCTCAACATTTCTATGATTTGGGGGGGAATGGCAAGCTCTGGTTCAGGCTGGTTTGCAACCTCCTTGTGATTTATTTCAACTGTCTGCTTTTCTCAAGCCCTGAAACTTCTTGTAGGCACAGTAGTTCAGTTCAAAGTTCATGAGTGAAAAACTACAGCTTTCACAACATGCTAGAGTATCACGAAATGATAACCTATTTCACCTGAAGGTGGATCCTCGTGGACATACCCATGAGCCATCCATGATCGCCAAGACAGAAGTAAGTGTAAAGGAAGGAGGACCTGTTGGGAGGGATCAGAATGAGACACGGGGGGCGCCTGGGTGGCTCAGTTGGTTAAGCGACTGCCTTCGGCTCAGGTCATGATCCCGGAGTCCTGGGATCGAGTCCCACATCGGGCTCCCAGCTCAGTGGGGAGCCTGCTTCTCCCTCTGACTCTCTCCCCTCTCATGCTGTTTCTCTCTCACTCGATCTCTAATAAATAAATAAAATCTTAAAAAAAAAAAAAAAGAATGAGACACGGGCCAGTTTTCGAGCTGACTCCTGGAGGAAATGTAAAACCCTCACGTTTGCACAGTGTTCTTTCAACGGTCTCAGCTACATGTGGATTAAAGCAGTGATTCTCAGCCTCGACCACACATGGGAATCACTTGGGGGAGCTTTAAAAATATGGATGGCAAACCAAAGGAAAAAAAGAAAAGAGTGAAAAATACTTAAAAAGAAAAAGGAAAAACAGGACTTTTTTAGAAAAGAAAAAAAATACTGATGCTTGGGTCCCATTTCCAGTTTCTAATGTAGTATAGATTTGAGGTGCAGCCTGGGCATCGAGACTTTTAAATGCCTCCCCAGGTAATTGAAACATGCAGCTAAAGTTGAGAAACTCTGCATGGGATCTTAAAGCTCTCCCAGCTTTTTTTCTTTAAAAGCTTCCTTCAAGTTCAAGGTTAAAGAATATTGATGGTAATGGCAGACATATTTTGCTTTCAATTGAGGGAAGTAATGGCCCTCTAAACAGGTGGTGAATAAAAAACACTGAACATCTCAGAAATTTATTACCTAGGAACCAGGTATAAATAAGTATGTCTGTGGGTACTAAATTGTAGAGTTACACTTAGAAGTGTCTTGCCATAACTTGATTTATAAATATTCTAGTTTCTAAGTTACAAATTTTTGAAAATGATTTTGAAAAAATTTCACCCTGTGGAGTCAAACGGAATCCCACGTGGGTCTTAGGCAAACAGGAATCTCTGTCCTCTGGAAGGCACCACTCTAGGGCGCCGCTGGCAGCTCTTCACTCCTTCATTCCCCCACTCACCTACTCACCCTCCTGTTAACCCAGCAACTCATTCATTCACCCAGTGAGTCTTGATTTTTTTTTTTTTTTACGAGGACGGGGGCGGGGTAGAGAGTAGTCTGAATTGGGTTATGAGGTCCCCTGGGCAGAGTACGTCACCTCAGCCATTGAACTCACTTTGCTGGCCGTGAGTCTATTCCAAGCTCCAGCTAAGGAGGCATCAGCCAGGCCCCTCCCCAGGGGCGGGGTCCATGGTATCTCCTGACCCATCTGCCCTCACACGTGGGGAGCCCCGCAGATTTTATGATTTTAAATGCCAGGTACTGTGCTCTGCAGCAGGGATGGAGAGAAGAAAATATCCCTTTCACAAATGCCTCAAATTAAATTGAAGGAGGGGTAGAGTGGAGGGATTGGGAAAGAAGGGAATGCCAAAGAAACTGAATTTACGAGGGCTAGGAGAGGCCAGAGGGGCCTTCCAGAGCTTGGGACATTGTTGATGTCACTGCCTTGCAAGATGCTTCAGGGAAGCCAGAGGCCACCCCTCAGCTCAGAGGCTGGCCTGTGGTGGGTTGGTTGTCCGAGTCTGCTCATCACCCTCACAGGGAAAGACTTGATATAAAGGCAAATGTGTATCAGCTGAGTACCTGCTATGAGCAAAACATGATGCCAGGAGCTATTATCAAGGAGCAGTGCCTCTCCAGGAGCTTCTCCTAGCCAAGGCAAGACTAACATCCGTGATATAATTGCCAACACACTTGACAGTGTGGAATCAAGAACTAAATTGTATGGCGTAGGCGCAAAGTGCCTTCCGTTCACAGAGGAGGGCTGGGAGGTGACCAGGGCAGGGGAGGCAGAGCTTGGGTGTGGGTCTTGTCTGCAGCCCGGAGGGAAGGCAGAAAGCAGGGTTCATTCCATGAACTAACCAGGTTCCCGAGAAGGAGGAGAAAGTGGATGTGAGGGAGAAGACACTTTTGCTGTTCTCAAAATTGTCTTTCACTGGCCAAAAGGACCCCCGGGGCTCAGACAGCTCTGCAGCTCCGAGTCCAACTGAAACACCCTCCTTCATCCACCAGGATGGGCGATGGGAATGGCGGGGAGACTCTTGAGTGGGCAGAGGTGAGAAATTGGCCCAGGGGGTAACTGAAAGATGAGGGAGCCTCTGAGCTGCTTCACTGTCCGGCATGTTACAATGAAAGGACATATTAATATACCACCTTCTAATATACGTGCTGGGTAAATATTAGAGAACTAAAGTTGGACATAGTAGTTACACTTCTTAGTGAACACAGGGTACAGTCTGGAGCCAAAGAGCTGCTTAATAGCATTATACTTAAAAAGTTTCTCAGGTACAGGATCGAGGGGAATCCATCCCCCCTGCCTACCATGTACTGTTTGAGTGCTTTCTTTTAAAACTCATGTAGTGTTCATGATCCCGGAGTTCTGGGATTGAGTCCCGCATCGGGCTTGCTGCTCAGCGGGGAGTCTGCTTCTCCCTCTGACCCTACCCCCTCTTGTGCTCTCTCTCTCACATAAATAAAATAAAATCTTAAAAAAAAAAATAGAACTCATGTAGTGTTCTCTAAAATGACATCGAAGATCCTCAGTTGACTGTTCTTTAGCTGTAAAATAATCTTATTTACAAATTGTTCATGTCCCCAGAACTGGTGCAATTAGTTTTAAATGATCTCAACTTCTCTTCCCTACCCAAAAAGTCCTCTTTCTCTGTCTTTGTCTCTCTGGCTGTTTCTCTTTCTCTGTCTCCCTCTCTCCCATACAAACCTATGAGTGTCACAGACTGGAGAAAGTTGGGACACTCCAATTTAGCCTTTTGGCTGAAGACATTACGCTGAAAATTAAGGTAAAATTGATCTGAAACCAGAAGAAACTGTGGGTTTGTAACCAGAGGGCGGGAGGGATGGTCTTGCTGGGTGACCTAGGTGAATTCAAGCAAAGTGTGTAAGGTTGTTGGCATGTATCATAGCAAGTTCTCAACAGACTCTTAGATGAGTCACATGATTTGTGATCATGGGAGGAAGATCAACTCAGAAGTTACCCTCAGGGAGCAACTGCTTTCCATGCTGACCCAGAAGCACTTCTTTCCAGTCTGCAGCTGGACTTTTAGTATTGGTTCCTCTCTCTCAAATTATAAAACAAAAATGAAATACATCACTGCTTAGGCCTCTGGATGTCTAAAAATTTGACAATGAGACGTAAGTACTCTTCTCCCTAACCACTCCCTAGTTCTGGTACCAGTATTAGTCACATGGAGGTCAAAAACCTTGGCGGATGTAGCACTACGCCTTGAAGGCTCATAAACCTGGCTTTTGACGGGTGATGAAGCCCGTGATTCCAAGGCCTTGGGTGTGCTTCAGAAAACGTGTCTGTCACAGGAAGAGTCCTAGAACCAGGATGCCAAAAGGGTGTTCGAAATCAAGCATCATGTTCTGGAGGCAACTGGTCCACCAGTTAGAACATCTTCCAGTAGGCCATCTTTCTCTTTGCTCAGTAGAGAGCTCCCCCAGAAGCATGAACATAAACCCGCATGGTTGGAATAACTTCTGCTTTAGGTAGAATGGGGACCACTAAACACTGGAGTGTTAGTCCACCAGTCTGGAAGGTTCTGGGGGAAGATACCCCTCTCTTCAACTCCAACTTCAGTGATAACTGCATTTGCACACACCAAGGAAAATGGTCTGGAAAGAGTCGTGCCCTGGTTTGTCTATTTTTTATACTCATGAATTCATAAGTAAGAAATTCAGACAGGGCATGGCTAGAATCTTCTGGAGGCTGCTTCACTCACTATCTGGTACCTGGGCTGGGATGACTCTAGGGTTGGTCATCTGGTCAGTGATTTTAGATGAAAAAATCTTACAATGGTGTAGAAAATGTCATCATTATACATGTAAACAAGTGCTTTTATTGAAAGCAATGCAACAATATTAAACAACCATAATATTTAGCATTAAAAATATTTCCACTCACGGAACACTTGAAATTAATACTGCATTAGAAAATTCTAAGAATATGGTCACCATGCCTGTGAAAACAACTACAGTCAAACACAAATTTTGTTTGCTAGTTTTCCCCCCCATATGTTTGTGGTTATTAAAACCATTTGAATTGAAAATGGATCAAGGTTTAGTGTTGCTTCTATAAATATAATGAGTGTGTATCCCAGATTTTCCAGGACAGCCCAGATTCCAAATGACCATGTCCCGGTTTGGGGATGGAAGGGTGTGGGCCATGCGTCTTGCCTGTGTGTGGTCAGGGTCTCCTGATTGGGGTGTTAAGGGGCTGGGACAGATCGTTCAGGTAACAGCAACAGAGTGAAAGGGCACAACAGCAAAAAAAAGGTATTTGAACCAAACTGGCAGCCCTTGAAGAAACTCAAAGGTGGCGGGAATGCCCGAGACCAGCATGTGTCAAAACAACTTGATAGATTAGGCAACTGTCTTGGAAGAGGAAGTTGGTCTTCCTGAGTCAGCAGCTTCATCACCTTCCAGTATTATCAGGGTCAAATATTTTTAGCCTTCAGGGCCTGGTCAGGGGTTTCTGAGGTGGATCTACCTCCTAGGAAGGGGTCGGTTCTGGAAGAGTGGGCTCATAGTGTCCATCTGTGGGAGCAGCCTTCGTTCCTTCTTCGGGTGAACCCACACAAGGACACGCTCTGTGCCCAGCAGCCCAAGGGAAGCAAGGCAGGATGCAGAAATGGTCCACAGCCAAATCTTTGCCTTTGAGGAGTTTCCATTCCAGCATGGGAGACACATAAAGTGGTAAGTTTTAATTACACCTCATCAAGGATTCCTACTGAGACAGAACCAAGCACTGAGGGGCACACAGAGGACAGAGCCACTAGCTGCGGGGTAGCTGGGGTGACTCAGGTGAGCCACTGGGCGGCGGGTCTCACACAAGCCCTTTCTAAGTCCTTTTTCCCTCAGTGGTTGAATGAGAGGACTAAGAATTGTTCCTCCTTGGTTTGTGTGAGTTCTTCTGAGGAGCACCCTTATACTTCCAAACTCCTTTTGCTGCCTTCCCTATCTCCTGCCCTTTACGGACCTGTCAGAGTCCAGGCAGGAAACTGAGCCGAAGATCAGCTGGGGTTTTTTTAAAGACTTAAGGACTAAGGGGTGTTGATGCCTACTGTAACTACCAACAGAGGGAAGCTGCTCTCAACCTGACCTGCAGAGGCAGGGAAGAAATGGGATCACTGGTGCCCAGATGACATCTGGAGCCCTGGACATAGAAGGGTGCAGCTGCTGCCAAAAGGACTGTCCAGCAGGTGGGGTGTGAGAGAAATAAAAACTCACCTCTCTGTCCTCCCGACTTCCAGTTCCCTGAGAGCGCATCCCATTGGCGAACCACAGTGGGAGACCAGAAGGTAAGGAAGCCCGGTGATGTGGTCCAATGAGGTTAGCCACCCAGGGCTTATGACCAAATAGAGAAGACCTTAAGGTGAAACTTTAGAATTAATGGAAAATAACGAACACTCTCTTCTTTTTTCTTTCCTCCTTACCTGCTTGCCCACAGGGCATCATGCCAGGCATTGAGGAATCAGGAATCAACAAGTCAGACCTGGCTCTTCATTTTATGGAGCTTATAGTCTAGGAGAGAGACAAATATGGAGCATACAAATAAAGGGATACAGGAACGGGATGGATGAGCTCAGGGAAACAAACCCCGGGTCTGGTTTTGATTCTCCAAAGTTGGCCACATAGTTCCTTGCTCCTAGAATTACAGTGTCTAAAGAGATCCCATGAAAACTTTGACTTAGAGCTGATCTTAGAAAGGCCACATGATGGACCACTCGGAATTTAGAGGCAAAATGCTTCTCAGCCCCATAGTCACTATCCCCCACGTCCTCTGTTATTCTTTAGCATTTCTACCCCTTTTGCTTAAACTTACTCACTCTTCCTTAATATGTAACAGAAAAGAAATTCAGGAGGATGTTTTTTAACCTTGGGATTGTGGAAAACAAACAAAGCAAGATAGGGTTGCCAGCGCACAGTGAAGGAGACCATCAACAAAGCGCGACAAGGCAACCTACTGAATGAGAGAAGATATTTGCAAATGATATATGCAATAAAGAATTAATATCCAAAATATATAAAGAACTTATACAACTCAACACGAAAAAAAACCGGACAATCTGATAAAAACTGGGCAGAGGACCTGAACAGACATTTTTCCAAAGAAAACACACAT